TGCACAATTTTGAGTAGAAATCTTTTCTTATTCTTCGTAGTGGACAATTTTGATTTGATTATTTTTTTAATCTTTTTGATTGTGATGATTACAACTCTAATACTTAATTAATGTGAACTTTCTATAATTTAGGTTTATTCTCCACGTAAGTAGTAGCTCAATTTAGCTGTATATAACACATTCTAATTCTATTAAGTTATTTTTTCCAACAAATTTTAATTATTAAATAATTTTAGAAATTATCTAAACTTATTAAAATGTTAAGAATAAATTCCAAAAAATTATGCTTTCGGAAATTCGAACACCCTTATCAAGTACATATATAACTAGCGTATAATTCGTGTTATGTACATATTATTTTTATATTATTTTTTTTAATAAATAATATAGTTTTCATATATATAAAATATATTATTCGAATCAAATGACTTTGGAAAATAATATACAAAATAAAAAATTTTAAACAATAATCTATAAAAAATAAGAATAACAAAATCGATAATTAATAAAATACATGAACAATAATAATGGAAAAATTGATTAGTAAAAAAATAGAATAAATAATTCTAAAAATACATAATAAAATAAATATACTAAAATAAAATTAAATTTTCTATATATTAAAATTTATTATAATTTTATGTATAAATTTTTCAAGTATTTTTTAAATTAAAATATTCAATATTTAAACATAATGTAGAAAATAAAATAATAATTAGAATAGGGTAAACTGTTTTAAGTAAAAATTTTCGTTGTTTTAGTTCTCCGGCGTCGAAGACGTCCGCATGGCTCGCCGGAAGTCACGTGTCCGCCAGGTCAGCAACACCTGGCGGACACGTGGATTTTTTTTTTTTTTTTAATTTTTTTAATTTTTTTTTAATTGGACCAAATAAATAAAATTAAAAATAAATTAAAAAAAAATCCACATGTCCGCCAGGTGTCGCTGACCTGGCGGACACGTGACCTCCGGCGAGCCACGCGGACGTCTCCGGCGTCGGAGGACTAAAACAGCGAAAAATTTCCACTTATGGGACTAGTTTGCGACATATTTCACTTACGAGAGTAAAATAATAAAGGGGTCCAGTTACGGGATTAAAAAAAATAGTTTACTCGTTATAATATAATGCAAAAAATATTAAATCAATTTTAAAAAACTCATAAAGAAATTATTAATATATAGAAAATAAAAATAATACAATAAATATTTAAAAAATACATATATACATAAAAATAAAAATAATTTTTTATCTCATTGTCATGCATAGCTTCCGGCATTAAAATTTTTACTGTAATAATTGATTTTTTCTTCTGCTAATTGAATGCCAATTTTATATTTATTTTTTATTTAAGTATATCCATCAAAAAATTATAATTATATACTAATAATAATATTTTTTTTTCATTTAAATACTTATATATTAACACAATAATTTTACCACTATTACTAAATCTCATAAAAACTATATGAAATTTTTTATCTTTACGTAACCTATTTTTATATATTAATTTTTTTTTTTTTTTTTGTTAATCTCCACAACCATGCAACTATATTTTCAATGGAGAAGAAAAGTATATAAATTTGAACTATTTCATATAATTAAATTTAATAGACCATAAGAACTACATATAAAGAGTATTGATTTTAATAAAAGAACACATAGTATAAAATAAAAATTTCTTAATTATTTTCAAAGAAGGTATCTAAATTCTTGGAATAGAACGAAAAGTTCAGACAACTTAGTGATCAGACATTTTTTTTGTGAAGAGCCGCAGCCTCGAATCCATTGTTGGAATAGCAGTGCGAAGTATTCTTAGCAGAAAAGTTGTTGGTAGGCCAAAGGAAGGCCCCCATGGCGAAGTGGCGTTTCTGTGCCACATCGCCTAATATAGGGAGGCCATATTCGCCGAGAAGCCTGTCCAAGGCCCATTCGGGCATGTCCTGAAATTCTTTTCGAGTGTACCTTGGATAGTGAAGAGGCATTTGGAATTCGGACATAGTCTTCTCCTTGGACTCCATTGGGCGCAACTTCAATGATCAATGGATCGGATTGGATCGGATTGGAGATCGAGAGATGTGATATATAGTAGGATGTAAGGATGGGAGCATGCATTGTGCAAGTGTGTTTAGTGTCATGGAAATGTGATGTTCTACCTTCTTCTTTCATGTAAGAATTATGTAATTAAGGATTCATTCTCATTGTGTACAAATTTGTGTTATTTCATTTTATGTTATCGAAAAATTCCTTTAATATTATATATATATTTTTTTTCTTTAGAGGGGTTACGTTGCTGATTGAGACAAATCATTATAGTAATGATTTGTTGATAGGTATACAAACACCTACTTTTAGTAAATACAATATTTGTTGTGTTAATTTAAAATCATGTATTGACAAATCGTACTTATGGATTGTACTATATGAATATGTATGTGTTGAGATTAATGACAGCATGTGTTTCAGTTAATGTGCTGTATTTATATTATATTAATATAAAATATTCGTCATTGTCATCATTGTACTAAATTATATTTTATAATTTAATATAGTAGCTATAATCATATATTTTTTTTAGAAGAGAAGGAAAAGAAAAAGGGGTCGGACTCGCTGATTAACTGATTCAAATTGACAATGTACTAATTTAATCCAATCAACATATGCAATAAAAATATATATTATACATAACATAACATTATAATACATACATGCTTTGATATAATCCAATACAAATTGTGTTATATAAAAATATATATAGTATGTATTTATTATATATGTTAATTGGATCAAATCAACATGATCAACATTGAATGCTGGCTTTGCTTAAATATATTATATATAGTTCTACATTTGAACCATGATACAATAGTTTCAATTAAAAAAAAAAAAATTAAAAATAAAAGAATAAAAAAAATATCTATATATACTTAATAGTACAAAACTATCTAGTCAAAGAATAATTTTATTTTTTTAAATATATATATATACAGTTCTACATCCAAAAGATAAATACAATATTTTTTGTTTGTTCAAAATATTTTTTCCGACACGATTTTAAATACATATCTTTTATCCTCTTACAAAAGTTAGCATTCAACATAAAATATTATTTTTTATATTAACAATATGTTTTTCTATACTTCACGTAAAATAAATAAAATCAAAATACTAAACAAACAAACGAAGTAATACATAAACAAATATTTAAATCCATCATTCATAAACATTCATTTTCATATCTAAATTACTTTTAGTTATACCATTTTCTTCAATAAATTTATTTTACATTGATCTTAAGAATACAGTGAGATTCTATGAATAGCATGTTACATATTTACTTGATCTAATGCATCTTCTATTAATATTTTTACATATATATTTAATTGTTGTCTCACCCATATTTGATTGTGGGTTTAGTCTTTAATTTCTATTACTTTGTTAAAAGAAAAAAATAAAATAGACCAACTTGATTTCAAATCAGGTTGTGCTCGGACTTAGCTTTCAGGCCTGATTTTAAACCGAGCCATTTTAGCCCAACATGATATATAATTGGGTCAGTTCAACACAATTCGGCACGGCCTGAGTTTTCATCTAAATTAAATCATTGTCGTCTACTTACTAACAATTTTGCCGTGTCATTAATTTGTGAAATAATGTGTTGATTTAAACTTTTATTTTAAATTTGAAACGATAAAAGAGCAACCCGAGCTTCCTCGTAACAACCAGATATACTATTCAATTAACTAAATATCAACACATCCCAGGATAATTTACTTAACCTAATTTCCAATGCATTTGAAAAATGTTTCTTGCCCTTTTGGCCCCCAATTACATATGCCCATAGAACAATCACAATCACAACCTCCACCACTACCCTCAAACACATCTTTAAAAGATCAAATCATCAATTTTCTAACAATTTCTAGTATGTTGGAACACACAAGAACACAAAGTCATTCTTCCATCACATTCCTATCTATAAATACCTGTATTGATATATAATGGATGATATAATAAAATCTCTCCCATTACTTTCAATAGTTTACTTTCTCTTTATCCTTCCATTTATTAGTATTATATAATATATATCTATATACCTACACTAACGCGCACACAGTACACTTATATATATTATTACTTACGCACGCCACACATATATCTTTATATACTATATATGTATATACAATATACTACCTTCGTTCGGCTCTAATGCTATCATTTACTTTTTGCGTGTTAATATTCGAATATTAATTATTATATTAAAACGTACTACAAATTAAGAAAATATTACAAAAAGATTTCTATTAATGTTTTATAATTCTAATAAAAGACATCTGTAAAAAAAATATATACAAATATAAGTATATTTTGTATTAAGTACAATGACAAAAAATAAATATAATCTTTAGAGACGGACGGAAAAAGTATAAAATAGTAGTCAACAGTAGAAATAATCAATATTTTTATTGACTATCCCTATAATAATATCACAATATAGTATACATATAACATTATTCTGTATTCTAATAAAAATATTTAAAATTATAAATACTAAACAAATATACTCTTAATTAAATATCCTTAAAAAATACATATTTTTTATTATAAATACACACTATAATACCAAAATATTTTTAATTTTTATATAAAAATATTATTATAATACACTTAATTTATATATAAAATACAAGTACAAAAAATATTATAATCATTCTATACATTTTAATTAACTAATAAAATATTTTATTTCGAATACCAATAACTATTGTATTATTTCTTTTTTTATGCAAAAATATTTTTTTTATCTTTTATTCATTTACCATTTTATTTGAGCAGGTATGTTTTTTCCATCTTTATCACAAGAGATAAAATAGTCAATTTTATAATCAAAAAATATTTACCTAAATAAAAATTGTATAAATATATTTTCGAACAATAAAATTTAGACGCTGAAAATATTATTTTATTATTTTCTATAAAATTCCAAATATATATATATTAGAGTAAGACGAAAGAAGTATACATGTATATATTCGATAAATAACATTAATTTTTTTATATAAAAAAAAATATGTATATAAATCGAACCTAAATTTTTGGTTAGATTTTGAAAGGGTTCCAAATTCTTCTTACATTCTTTAACAGTAGAGTACTAGAGTACAGAACAGCAAAATTCAAATCTAAAACTACAAGTCTACGAATCAAACCAAAGATCAAAACGTTTGATATACAATGTACATAAAAGTTAAATTAAAACACTTTTCGATCTCATTCCTCGACTCTTCGCTGCCGTTTGCTGTTGGGATTCTCCGATTCTGCTTCGCCATCTGCTTCCATGTCTAATCCGAACACGCTGCTGCCGCTCCTTTTCTTACCAGACACGGCGCTCGGCTTCTCCTCATCCACCGAAGCCACAGTTTCCAGCAACTCAGACATCAGTGCCGGCCAGCTTTGTTCCAACTCTTTGAACCCTTCCGACTGCATCACCGCTGCAAAAACAAAACCAAAAACAAAATAATAACAATAAAGAAAATGACCTTTTTAAACAGATCACATCGGATCAACACAATCCCAGGTTTGAAATAGTATAAACCATTCAATTCGAAGATGATTTGGTTATAAGCTAGGCAGTTTAGGGCTCGACCCTAAGTGGAAGGGGCATGTGTGAGGTGCCGTAACTCAAAATTTAAAAATTTCCACCTTCAGTCTGAAAAGTCTGCACTATTTTCTCCTCTTCGATAATTTAGAAACTGCATAAGGCTATATCGTATTTTAAAAAAGGCAAAATAGCAAAAGACAAAAAAGAAACCAATGGTTTGTGAAGTTTACTGAAAAGACCCTCTAGTCATCAAAGTCTGATTTTACCTACTTGTAGTTCAGATAACGTTTCAAAAAATTAGAAAAGACAAAATAGCAAAAAAAAAACCTATGGTTTGCCAAGTTTACAGAAAAGACACTCTGGTCATAAAACTCCGATATTACCTACTTGTAGTTCAGATAATGTTGCAAAAAATTAAAAGACAAAATAGCAACCAAAAAAAAAAAACCCTATGGTTTGCCAAGTTTACTAAAAAGATCCTCTAGTCATAAAACTCCTATTTTACCCACTCATGGTTAGATAATGTTGCAAAAAATTACCCTTTCCGTTAGTACTTACCGGAGATTGTAACTAACACGCTAAAAGCCTAAAACTGCAAGTATTATTACATATGATCTTGCAATAAGCCGCAACTAGTTTTATTAATACACACGAGGGTACTTTTGTAACTTCCTCTCCTATTATCTATAATTTATAATAATACTTGCAGTTTAAGCATATATACTACAATCCCTGTTAAGTACTAATGGAGAAGGTAAAACGGAGTTTTAGGACTAGTCTCTTTTCAGCAAATTCCACAAACTATGGGGTTTTCGCTATTTTGCCTTTAGAAAATATTGAAAAAAAAAAATCCCCAAAAAATTGAACGAGCCTCTTCGTATTTTCAAAAGCAATGCACAAAATTCTCTAAAAGGGGAATTAGGGATTATGTGCAATGCACAATTTTTAAATCATAAAGACACAGACTTTCCAAACCACATGCGGTCATGAGCAATTTTGTCTGGAAAGTATATATATATATATGTATATATATGTGCATGTGTGTGTAATACTAGCATGCCCTGAATGATCACAACATTGAGATCTATAGATTACACGCACCTGTCAAGTTTTCTGCTGCAAATTTCAAACACACGGCCTTGAGATGTGGGCAGCGATGCTCCTCTGCAATAGAAAGAGTTGTAGCTAGTGTCTCGGCACTGAGCTCTTCGCATAATTTTGCTTCACAGAACTGTTTGAACCTATTCAAATCGAAGCGATTGGCAGCAGCCAATAGACGCGGCATCATGACCAAAGAAGATGAAGATGTTGAGCTGAATATGTCATGGAAATTGGGAGGCTCGTCCGAGTACATAAACTGCAGCAGAGCCTGCAAAACACATTCAGACACATGGGTTTGTTTCTTTTCGGGTTTCTTATTATTCGATCGCCATGTGTTCCCAATAAAAATATATTTTTTCTACTTACAAAAAATCACACCAAACAATTATTAAACAAAAACTCAAACTGCTAAACCATTAACAAAAAAAAAAGTAAAGTGGCCTAAAAACTACTACAGTAGAATAACATATATTCAAATATTTCAGAAAATGAAGTTTGAATCCGCAAATGTGTCGAGGGGAAGAGTCGTATGAGTTTACTACATTCAAAACATCACGTCAATACATATTTGCATAACATTAAACAGCTATTTCAATTCAAAACTTTATTATTAAAACCAAAATCTTACAAGTAAACCCACTTCAAGCATATGTAAATCACCGACCGAAAACACATCATAAATGAGCAACTATATAATAACCTTCTCTCACAAAATTGAATCAGATTCCAATGTATTCCAACTCTACGATCTTTCAAAAAAAGTTAGGACAACCTGAACGAAATATTGGGAAAAAAATTACCGCTATCTCCTAAAATAAGCTAAGGCTCTGTTTGGTCAAAGAAAAACAATTGTGTTAAAGATATATCAAATGACGTCGTCAAGTTCATTCAATCTTAGCTATGGGTTCCAAATCCATCCCATTTACTACTTTAAATTATCTTCAATATTGTTTCATTCAAATATTTCCTAAAACCAAACAACATATTTAAATTATGAAGTATTTCCAATCCGAGTCAGTTCAAATTCATTCATTTACAATCCACCTTCAAATCCGTATCCATCAAACGAGCCCTATCATACCTAGAAGTAACAATGCACACAATCCCGACTAAAACCAAAAATCTCCCAGAAATCTATTGCAGCCTTGTTAATATCACACATTGCAAAACCTGAAGAATTGTGATATTTGTTCACCAAAACACTTAGATATAAGGACTATGAAAGTTCATGAACTTATAAAATACGAATGTTTCACTTAGGCATACTTTTCTGCTTGAACAAATTGTTTAAGAAAAAGTGCCAAAGAAATAAACGCGTACCTTGAATATAGGTGGTTCGATATCCTCAATATCCACATTTTCACACTCAGCAAGTTCCGTAACTCCAAAAAACTGGGCTCGGAACACGGGAGAGCGTGCTGCAAGTACTAACTTATGAGCCTTGAATGATTCTTCCCCAACTTTGAAGCTTATATCACAGCCAAGCTCGCCATCCAGCAAATGCTTGAAACATAGGCCCATATCTGATGGAGGAATTGCAATACCAAATGGTTTGGGTTTCTCTACACGCGTTTGAACAACTCCGACGGTACAATTCATTGAGAGACAATCATCCTTAAGATAATCAGAAGTTTCCAACGAAGTTCTTCTGAAAAATCGCTTGTAACCCCTGGAAATGAATTACAGTGTTAGATTATAACCAGAAACATTAGTAATGGTACAAATCTAAAGGCAACAAAAACAATCTGAGACAATACTATATGTTATAAACTTTTAGCTTACTACAAAAGATTGATTTAAAATTAAAACATCGTAAACAAACTTCACCGAATCAAAGGCTCTGTTTACCTATGTTTCCAACTTTGTTTATGCACTATTCATTATAAATTTCCCTATCTAAAAAAACATCACATTCCAAATTTAATTTTCATATACTACCTCTGTCCGTCATCATTTTGCCATTTGTCACTTCAATCAAATGTATTAGTCTCCACTTTTTAGTAACAGTATTTTTACTCAAATAAAAAATATCTCTACACTTCACATAATATTACAAACAATGTCATTAAAAGGTAAATAGACTTGAGGGCAAGATTATCTTTCTATCTTTCTTCTATCATACAAGTAGCTAAAATCAACGTGCAAAAAGAGGTTACATTTGCGCTGGACTGAGGGAGTAAAATATTATATTAACAACTTATTACCTAATCAAAATCAAAGATCTATTTTCGATTCAACTATTTACTATTCTGAAATCAACACGAAACTCAAAAACAATCCCAAACATATCTAAACAGACTTCTCTTGGCATTATACAAATCCTCAAATAGTTTTAATCAAGCAAGATCAATTCAACTAGCTATTCATATAGTGATGATCATATATTCCCAAAAAAAACTAAGCTCGGAAACCATATCAGACAAAGAACACTGAAGAACATGGAACTGACCAGAAATCAATTGGCAATAACATCAAAGATTAACCAAAATTAAAAGACAAACAATGTTAATGTTACAAACTAGCATTTGAATCACAGAGAAAATCAATCACAAAAATCAAAACCCTAGAAGAACAGCAAAGCCACCCCCAAATTAAGCTTCCACGCAGAAATGATTAAATCAAAATGCATCAAAAATTGAAAGGCGAAACAATCACATCACCACATGCTTCCCCTGAATTTAAGCGTGTAGGGACCGCTCTCCAGCGACCGATCAAAATGGCTATGGACCTTGTGCTTCTCCTTCCCGCTTTGATCCACAAGCGTAAGTTCGAACAGCGCCCTCACATCGGTCCCTTCGCTTACCAGCGCAATGAAAACCGAGACATACATCGAGGAATCCTCGGGGCTTTTCCCGTCCGGATAGAAATAAATCGCCCAGTCATGGCCGCCGACGCTGAACGTGTCGGAACAGATGTATTTGCCCGGCCCCATTCCCTTGGCCAGAGAGTAGCCTTTGATGGTGAACTGGTGCGAGCCATTCACCGTCTCGCTTACCGATCTCGAGCTCGAATCGACGCCGGTGTCAGCCTCACTGCAATTCACGATCATTTCATTGGTGATGACGAAGAACAAAATATTACTTTACCGCAAAAACCCTAACGAAGCTCGGTAACAATGGAGGAATTTTCCGGTTGCGAAATTCAGGGGCTTCTGACGCTCGTTATTGATGGAATTGCTTCAATTGCTTGATTCGATCGATTGATTTGGGGAATTCGTATTGAATGGAGAAGATTGCAGAGGGTTGGTCGCAGAAAATCGCACATCGTTTCTTCCTTCGGACAATCTGTCGGTTGAAAAACCTCGCCTTTTGCGGATTCGAGATATATAAATCATTTATTAATTTTTTCCAACAATTAAAAATAATAATAAATAGGGAAAAAATCAATTTTAGTTCAAATATAAAAAAATTCAATCAATTTTAATTTAAATATAAACAATTTCAATCAATTTTGGTTCCGTTAAAAAAAAATTAATAGAAATTGCTGACGTGAACATAACGGAGTGACGTGGCAGTTGACTTGGAAAGTACACGATCATGTTGTTACATGATCATGCATATTTCAATGTATAATTATACACGGCCATATTGTTACATAGTTATGTATATTTCAGTGTATAATTATACATAGTCATGTTGTTACACGGCCATGTTGTTACATGACCATGTATATTTCAGTGTATAATTATACATGACCATGTTGTTACACGACCATGTATAATTCTGCACGGCCGTGTACCTTTCTGTTTCGGTCTAAAATTTTATTTTTTTGTTATTATTATTATTTTTTTTTAATTCAAAGTAGTTGATATAGTTAAAATGAAAAAAAAAAAATCAATAATAATCATAATATAATTAAAATGTATCAATTTTAGTTCAAATATAAATATTTTCTTTTGGAAAGATTTTGTCTATAATTCTACTATTTAGCAAAAAAAAAATCTCTTACAAACATTCAATTACTGTATTGAAATAATAAATTAATTTTTAATACTACTATAATATACAAAATTAAAAAATAGTTGTGTAATTGAATGTTTGCAAGAGGAAATTTGTTTATGAATAATAAAATTTTAGACAAAACCTTTCAAAAAATATATTTTATAAATTTTTATATTTGAATTAAAATTGATAAAATTTAATTATATTATAACTAGTATTGATTTTGTTCATTTTAACTATATCAACTATTTTAAATTCAAAATAATTTTGTTTAAAAAAAAATAAAAATAAAATAAAATTCTAAACTAAAATAGAAATGTACATGACCGTGTATAATTGTACATAGTCGTGTAACAACATAATCATGTATAATTATACACTGAAATATACATAGTCATGTAACAACATGGCCTATGGTCGTGTACGTTCCAGGTCAACTGCCATGTCACTTCCGCCATGTCCACGTCAGCAATTTCCGTTTTTTTAACGGTTGGACCAAAATTGATTGAAATTGTTTATAATGGGACCAAAATTGATTGAAATTGTTTATATTGGGACTAAAATTGATGAGTTTTTTATATTTTGACCAAAATTAATAAATTTTGGTTATATTGAGACCAAAATTGATTTTTTCCCTAATAAATAAATAAATAAAAAGACATGAGAAAAATACGTAATGTGGAAGCTATTGTTGTAATAATCGTTATTTATGTAATACTAGCGGAATACACATGCTACTCACGTTGAAATCAACGAAAAAAATTATAATTATATTTTTTTGTTTAATAGTAATTTCTTTACATATTATCTATATATATTGTAGCATTTTACTTTTATTTCTTAATTGAATATAAGATTATAATATAATAGTATTATTTAAAATAATATTGAATGCAAAATAAATTACATTTTAAAAATTTAATATAATTTTTTTATATCTTCTTTATAATCGTAATTACAAGTAAAAATTATTTATCAATATATACGTTGTAATTTTAGAATAAATTTAAAATCTAAGTTTATGTTTGTGTTTACATAATTATTTTAAAAAATAGTAAAATATATGCATTTATTTTGGATAGTACTGTGCATTTATTTTATCATTTTTAAATACAAATATATTAAAAATTAATTTATAAAAAATATATTCAAAATCTACACAACTGACATCTTTCTACTAAATATCATACAATAAATTAAAATAAAACAAACAAAACCTTCACTACACATATAACAACAATTTTAACACATCTTTTGATTTGAGCTGCTACCGCCGGATTTCTGCAAGCTCGAACTAAAAACATCATCATTATCTACCATCGTCCACTAATTCTCGGCCAAACACACACACCAGATAGAGCTTGCATCAGTCCACCTCTGCATACATCCACATCAACTGTTTGAGCACAAACTTTTCCAGAAATAAATATGTAATATAAATTATGATTTACATTATATATTTAGAATAAAATATGCAATATAAATAAAATAATTTAATGCTAAAATAACAATTTAATTTATTATGAACAAAATCAATTAAAAAATATATAAAAGCTATACATATATTTGGATGTGTTTAGAACTTGATTGATTATGAAAATAAAATTATTATTCATATACATATAACAATTTCTTAACCAATAAAATCAATTCCCCAGATAACTTAATTACAATATTTGTAACTCTCTATGATGAAAAAATAAAAAATAAAAATAACATATAATTTAATATAAATTATGATTAATTGCTAATAAGAATTTAAATTACACTTAAATAAATATATAATAAAATAATTTTTATATATTACAAATTAAAAAACCCTCAAACTTATCGCTGCATTTATCTTTTTTTTTTCTTCTTTGTCCCGGTTTCTTTTTTTTTTCTGGTTTTTTTTTCTTTTTTAACATTCTTCTATTTCTGTACCCTGGATGCTACAACTGACAGCAAATCACTATGTAAATAAATTAAATACAAAATGAAAAAGATTAATCATAAATAAATTCAAAATTTCAATTTCGATTGCAGTAAATATATAAATATAACCTCGTGAAAAGAAAACATTAGGTAATGGAAATAAATCAACAAACTTAAACAAATTTTAGAAATAAAAGCGAGAGAATCCTCCAACAAACAATTTAGAAAACAACTTGATGACTCTTGCTCTGCGCCACACCAAAATAAGCAATTTAGAGAATAACAAAAAGAAACTGTAATCAATACAAAAAGTATCAGAACAATTGTAGAAAATTGAAAAGTATCAGAACAATTGTAAAAAATTGAAATAATATTAAAAGAAAATAAGAAAAATTAATAATAGAAAAAAAATAAAATTTAGTAAACAAAAAAGCAAATAAAATATGAACAATAAGAATTATTAAAATCCGTGAAAAAACCTGTAAAACAATTAAGAATATGAGTTCCAAAACAAATGAATATAAATTAAAAAAGTAAAAAAATTTCAAAATTTTGTTAGTGCATAAATTAGACACTGATCTCATGTGTATATACAGAATATAGATCATGAAAACTATATAATCCCACCACCCATTTTCTATAACCGCATCACCCCTCTATCACTTTTATCAAATAACTGTAATTATGAAAAACTGTAATAAAAAAAAAAAAAAAAACTCTGCAGAAATTTACAAAAAATGGGGTCCACACTTCAGATCTTTTATATATATACATGATATATGATATGAGATGATTATGTATTCCTCCGTTTTAGAACTATAGTTTTGGTTGCGTTTGCACACGATATTTAAGGAATATTAATATTATATTATAGTTGCTAATAAATATAGGTAAATAAACTTCTTTTTTTTTTTGTCTATGTGAATATATTAGTGTAAAAAGTAATGACAATTGTGTAATAATAATGAAAAATTAGAGATATTTTTTATAATGATACGATTATTTATAAAATTGAGACTATTGTTGTGGGACGGACAAAAATACTAAACAACACTATTGTATTGAAGTAGAGAGTATTACTACCTCCGTCCACCGCCAATCTATCCGTTTACTTTATGCATATTAATCTTTGAATATTAATTATTATATCAAAACGTAGTACAAATCAAGAAAAAATGACAAAAATATTTCTATTGGTGTCTTATAATAATAATATAATGAGATTTGTACAAAAAATTATACAAATATAAGAATATTTTTAATGTTAAAAACAATGACGTCAAATATAAATGGATAGATTGACGGTGGACAGAGGTAGTATTATTCTATTTCTTCTGATTTCAAAGTATTTTTTAGTCTCATTTTAAAATATCTTTTTTCTTAATTTTATATTACTATCAAAATATTTTAACTTTTATTTAAATTACTAACTAATTAATACTACTCCCTCCGTCCCATAACAAAATATCTATTTTTCCATTTTAGTCCGTCCCATAACAAAGTATCAATTTTCTTTTTTAGTAACTGTACTATCTACCTAACCTTACAAATACTCTTACAACTTACAATATATTACACAAATGTTATTACTTTTATATCATACATACTAATAAGATTATTTTAGTCATTTCTACTTTATTCCTACTACATCCCAATATAATACTAATATTTCTAAAATTATGTGCAAAAAGAAAATGAATATCTAATTATGGGACGGATGAAGTATTATTTTTTAATTATTACAAAATCTCCAAAAGTTCCTTTCATGAGTATAACTTTAAGTATTTCAAAAATATTATACTCCCTCCGTCCCATAAATAAATATCTATTTACTTTTTGCACGTAGTTTTAGAAATATTAGATTATATTGAGATATAGTAGGAATAAAGTAGAAATGACTAAAATAACTTTATTAGTATGTGTGATATAAAAGTAATGACATTTGTGTAATATATTGTAAGTTGTAAGGGTATTTGTAATGTTAGGTAGATAATACAGTTACTAAAAAAGAAATGAATACTTTTTTATGGGACGAACTAAAATAGCAAAATGAATACTTTGTTATGAGACTGAAGGAGAGAGTATATACTTTGGTCTTATAATATGTGACAGAACCAGCTATAAAGTTCTTGGGGAACAAAATATCTATTAATTATTATAAATTCAATTTGCAGCCGGTAAAGAAGAAAGGGAAAAAAAGTTCTGTAAAAATTAATATTTTAGAAAAAAAATCCAACAAAATTAGTATATAAAAAAATTAACTAAAAGATTAAAATGTAAAATTAACAAACTACAAAAATTTTATTATTTTTCACATTATAAAAAATAAAAAGTAAAAGAAGCAAATTAAGAAAAATACATGATATTATTGGATTTGTTTGTTTAGGGTATGTTTCTGGGCTTGAAAAAAATTTGGTTTGAGTTTGGTATTAAAATAATGTATAA